GATATAAGGAAGAAATTCTTTACAATGATGGTGGTGAAACACTGGAACAGGTTGCCCAGAGAGGTGGTGGAGGCCCCATCCCTGGAAACATTTAAGGCCAGGTTGGATGGGGCTCTGAGCAACCTGATCTAGTTAGTGGTGTCCCTGCTCGCTGCAGGGGGGTTGGACTAGATGACCTCTAGGGGTCCCTTCCAACCCAAAACATTCTATGATTCTATAAAATAAAAAAATTCCTCTTTTGTATAATTCTATTCTGCACAGCAGGGTCCTGCCTCCAGCATCACAAGCAGCACACACCCAAAGGGAGCACAAGTAAGCAAAGTATAGAGGAACGGTCCCCGGGCTTTCCTCCCTGCCTCCAGCAACTACAGAGCCAAACCTGCTGAGGCAGACACCCTTTTCTTGTATTTAGTAACTTTTTGGAATTTCAGCCCATTAATATGAAGCTGGCCACTGAAGTTGAACAGTTCAAAAACAAAGTACTCAGATCATCACATATTGAACAACATGGCACCAGCAGAAACAAAGGCAGAAAACTTGGAAGCAACTAAGACTGGTACATGCCTCTGTCTGGGGACTCCAAATGCCCCAAATTAATCAGACACTTTGCAAATTCTTGGCAGACCTGCTTTCTCTTTAGAGTTCATTTCCCAGGTTGCTCTGCCAGCCAGCAATACAGTGAAAGATTCAATTTCAAGCAACAGAAATACTAGGAAAAGTGAATTAGAATTAAAAATAAATTGACAAAGGCGAATACTATCATATCATCCTATTTCATTTGGACATAAATAATACTTTAAAATAGCAATGTCAACTGCACAAGGCAAAAATATGGATTTGTGCAGGGAGTTTAAAATCCCCAAAGTGCCTCAGGACAATTTAACACAACGTGACTCCATGGCCCGGTATTTTGTATCTGAAGTTAAGGAACATTTTGGCCAAACTAGCTCTAAAATAAATTCACTTTAAGGATATTAATGTAATCCTTTTTCTGCCTGGCGGCACAAGTTTTATTAAAGTTACAACTTTAAGGGATGTTTCATGTTAAAACAGGGCTTTACATAAGGAGACTGTGAAAACAGAGCTCAAATTAAATTGTATTATGAAAATTTTATTAATGAAACACAACAAGTGGACTTTGAAATAAGACTTACTAGTGATACTTCTCTTAAATTACAAATTTTCAAGTGTCACTAAACTCTTCTGCTGTGTGCTGGGGAAGCTTAGCTCAGATTATATTTCCCTGGCTGGAAACACTGGAGCAGAATTTAAGAGTTTCAAAGAACCTGCTCACAGGGAAAATTTTTAACATCCAGCCCCTAGAAAAGAGGGGTTTTTTTGGTTTGGTTTGTTTTTTAATTTTTCACAGAATCATAGAGCAGGCCAGGTTGGAAGGGACCTTTGGGGGTCCCTGGTCCAGTGTCCATCTCAAAGCAGAGACAACTTAGATCAGGTTTCTCAGGGCCTGTTCCAAGCTGAGTTCTAAATAACTACAAGGATGAAGATTTGAATATATACCTTAGTTCCAAGTGATTATTTTTTCTGACTGGTTCAGTCTTTAAGGAATCTGGTGCTAAGGCATTAACAGCAAGTCCGTCAGGTCCATAAATTAAGGTTCTGAATACTCACTATATTCACAGAGAGGTTAATGAAAGAAGACCTTAGACAACCCTAAGAGCTCATGCAAGTTTTGTAGTACCTTCTACACTTGCTCAAGAATTAGATATACACTGTGCTGGTCAGAAAAGGGGCACTGAAGCCTCAGCTGACAATAAATCACTCCAAATTACTTGTTCCCTAACCACCCAGCACCTGACAGCATCCCTTTGGGTCTCCACAAAGCCCTGCACAGTAAACAAGAAAATTATTCACCTTGTCAGAGGTGAGAAACTGGTGATGAGAAAGGTAACTCCTGGCCAGAGTTGGGCTGAGAATCAGTTTCAAATCTAAGAGGCCTGATGCTTACACTGAGACCATCAGTTACCTGTTCCAGACTTCCAGGTAAGTTTCTTACTTATCAGGCCCAGTAACTTCCAGTACCACCCACCCTGGAAGTCTAAACCAATTATATTTGCACTGATTAAAAATGGTCCAGCTGAGTTCCTCCTTTAGTTATCAGTCATACTGTCATCCCTTATCTAAAATATAACAGAATTTATATGAAAGAGAAGACACCTGAGTATCACTAAGAGAGTGGGAGCAGCAAAGAACAGTAATTTCCAAAGCAATTGTGCAATAATCTATATGACTATACATATATCTAATTAAAAAAATAAAATCACGCAATGCTTCACGTTCATACTGACCTTGAAATCAGATTCTAAGCTGTACTATGAAAAATCTGCCCCCCACCCCATCTTGCCAGGTGGAAAAAAAGCCAATTATCTTTTCCATACATTTACCTTCCTATCTCCTGCCTGGTGGCATGCAGGATTTGTACAGCCCAGCTCAGCTCACGCTGCCCTGATCTGATGAGGATGGATGAGGCTGTGGGTAGAGCCGAGGGGTCTACACTGTACAGACAGCCCACCCCAGGCCGCAGAGAGCCCTGTCTGCACTCCTGAGACAGCAAATACAAGGGGAATGCAAAGACATTCGGTGCTCAAGTAAAAAAAGAAGAGGTCCTGAGAGTCACCAACAGCTTAGTACACCCCTCTGAATTACACACTCTCCAACAAACAAAAAAAAAAAAGCTAATAGAAACAGAGAAAAGAAGGAAAAAAAAAAATCCTGCTGCTATTTCTCTAAACCCAAGTCCATGCTGAAGGGCTCTGGACAGGCTCATGCAGCTGGTCTTCGCAGGGACGTGCACCTCAGCTACCTGGAGCTTCCCCGAGCATTATGTTAATCTGGAAAGGGAACACTTGATAAAAAAAAAAAAGCCATTGCTGAAAACCAGGCAGAGCTTTGCTGGAAAGCCAGGCACAAACCAAGCAACAAATAACTCCTAGTGTGTGCTGAAAGAACCGCTGGAACACTGGGGAGCTGCATCCTGAAGCCACACATAATTAAGTTTTGACAAAATTGATTTTTATGTTTAAGCGTTGCTAAGCCACAGCCTTATGAGAAAATACCAGAATTTGAAATGTGACATAGAAGAATTTAAAGTATTTTGACAGACAAAAGAACGCTTAGGTGCCCACTCAAGCTAGCACACAAACACTACACTGTCATCACCACGCTAAGCATCCCTGATTTATTTGCTTTTCCCTTCCTCCCCCAAAAAGGCACCCTGGAACACAGAAGGGAAGACGGTACAGAAATAACAGAACTTGTCACAGTAGAGAGATGTGTGAGTGTGAGGACTGTTATAAGCACAGACTCGAAGAAAGTCGGAGGTACCAGGCAGGTAGGAAGCGAACACCAGCATCAGCTAAGACCACAGCGCGAGACTCGTCTGGGGGAGCAGTCTTTCACTCAGAAAATGGAAAGTATAAGAATGCAAAACAAAAACAAATCACCAAATCAGTATCACATCTAAGCCATCCAAAGGTTTAAGAGATTTATTATAATTGCCGCAGAAAAGAAAGGAAAAGACGGTAAGAAGAGAAAATAAAAATAACATAAAAAAAAAAAGCTTCAAGTGAATCCACCTGCTTTCTCTTGCCGGAAAACCAGCCTGCAAGCTCTTCAGAGTAGCAAACAATTTTATTCTTTGTCTGTACAATACAACAGAGGCCCAGGACACTGATGAAGTTTCAGAGAGCTGCTACATTACAAATGAGTAACAATAATCCACTTAATCTCTGCTTAATGCAGCCCTGAAGGGAATGCAAGCGAGATTATCAACCAGCAGCATTTATTCAGCAGAACTTCAGTTATGGTGCACAGCCAGAAATTTATATCCCTCCCTCCAAAAGTGTCTGTTGGCTTCAACAAAGCAAATAAAAACTTGAAGACTTGGATCATAAATTGTTAAAGGAGCTTAGTTACAAAAGGAGGGGAAAGAAGAGGATGTTAGTGCATAAGCACTGCAAGAGGCTTCACATCAGATCCAGCAAAAGTAGTGGAAGTGGGTGGAAAACAATCCAGCGGCAGAGAGAAAAACAAAACTGTGATTGCCTCATAGCTTGGAGGACACACGAGCTCCTGCTCCCCATGCCACCGCTTTGCTGCAGCACAGTAGCAGAGGTGGCAGATGCTGTGGTAGACGACATCCCCATTTCAGCTTGTCAGCCATGTCCCATGCAAAGGAAGGCTGGGTGGGGTCGTCCCATCCCTGCTCCATGTTGGGCTGCAGGAGAACGTGACAGATGCTAACAGGCGTCAAGGGAGAGAGTAAAAGCGTCACACCAAAGCCACACTTACAGCAACCAGCGTTTCAGGAGACATATTTGCTCCCTTCACATCTTCTTCTTCTGGCTCTTCGTTTTCCTTATTGTCAGTGCAAGAGACAGAGTCTTGGACTGAGCAAGTGCTAAGCAAGTCTGGCAAACTGGTAGATGGGTACTTCAGAAAATCCCCTTCAGCAGATTCCTACCAGAGAGACAACAAAATATGTTACACTGCATGCAGTAAACCACCAAAGTCACGGTGAAACTGCTCCATTTCACCTGCCCAGTGAGAGCTCCCTGGTAATCCTCGTTACACACTTCCATGTCCTCAAACTTTAATGGTCCAGTTGTAAAAATCAGACCTGGTTTTAAAATGCATATATAGTAAACACAGGCCAATATACATCTAAAACATCCAAATTTCATAAAGGAGAATTTAAAATAAACGCTTTCCCTAGCAGCCTGCTCCTCCCCACTTTGGGTTTGTTAAATGTCACTGTGAGCAGACTCAAGAGTTTACAGACCTCATTACTCATTCCATTGCATCTCAAATCACACTCTCTGCTTCTGCTCCCTCCCTGCAGATGCTCCCTTCCCACATTTATATATCTAGTGCATAATAATAATAATACACCGACAGCCCTACCTGGGAGAACAAAATGAAAACTGACCCACCGATCCTCTAACAACTCAGTCCTGATGCTTCAGGATCTGTTTTCAGGCTTTGGCACATTTTTCAGGAGGCAAACAACGTGCATCAACTGAAAGCAGTGGCCAGACAGGCTCTTATTTTATTGCTTTCAGAACAAATCCTGCGTTTAGAGTGCTTGCCTGGCCGAATTGCGAGGTGGCTTTCCCATACCAACAAGTAACGCCCAGAGGGAGCCACTGGGGAACACTTCACCTATTCACACCTTTCCTGAGGCTGCCTGAATCGCGGCACAGACTGGATTCCCCACCGCTTGCCTTTCTAAGCCCTCCTCCCAGGGACATGAAAACTGTCCAAGCGCAGAGAGCACAGGCCAAACGGATTCACAGCCCGATCAGGAACATGCTGTAAGCTTATTCACGATGATCATTTTGATGCAGTCATCACATGAACAAGCAGATAATACTTCTTTACTTAGGGGTTGTGGAGTCTCCTTCTCTGGAGATATTCAAACCCCACCTGGACGACGTCCGATGCAACCTGCTCTGGGTGAACCTGCTTTAGCAGGGGGGTTGGACTAGATGACCTCCCGAGGTCCCTTCCAACCCCTGCCATTCTGTGATTCTGTAATTTTAAGGAGAAATTTACGCAGTCTACTGCCTCACATTTTGGCAGAGACGCCAACTGTCTAAAGGAAATACAATGTGAACCTATTCAGGTCAAAGCATGTTGTTTCCAGAATAAACACTGGTGGGGTGTGAGCCTACAGAAGGTCTTCAATGAACTTCACTGCCTAACTGAAATGTTAGAGAAGTTATAGGCTCTTCACTTTGAATATGGTGGGACAGGGCCTCTTCTTGAAAAATATGAGCATAAAGCATCCCGGGAAGCTATAAGCCAGACATTAAACCAAAAGAAACCTGCACCAGGTTAGCTGGGGCAACATAAAGATGAAGCTAAGAAACATTTTAAAAATACTGACACAGTGGCTTGCTGACATTTCACACTCCACCTGGAAATACAGGTTGACAAGCAGTCCCTTTGGCCGAAGATGTTCCTTCCATCACCCCAAAGGCTCTGATGGCCCCCACCTGCAGGCAGGTCCTTCTTCGAGACCCCGGCCACTTTCGGGCGCTGGTTGGCCACCCACCAAATGCCTGCATCAACCCAAGCAGGGGAGCAGCAGGCTGTGGTCCGGGGATGAGAGCAAACAGGGGTGGGCAGGATTTTGTTAAACAATTGACAAAATACTGTGTAATATCCCCTCACCCTCTCCTGCGATGAAAGCAGAATGAAGAGCCCAACTGATAAATGAATTCCACTCTCATTTTCCTGAAATTTCATGCTCCTTTATCTGCAAGAGCTCCACTCCAAGCTATTAACAAGGACAAAGTAAGGAACTCAAGCCAAGAGATCATCATCAAGAGACCTCAGGCACAAAGATAGGACAAGAGACGAGAGCTACGGAGGCTATGCAGGCAGGAAGCAGAAGAGGCTGAGAATAGCCTGCTTTATTTAGCATATATTTTAAGAAAATGGTTTTGGCCAAAACTGAAGTAGTGCCTGCATGAATAAATACAGGCTCATTTGCACACTGAACAACAGTGACAATACAAGTAAATCATGAAGTTGGTCTATAGCCTGCTGATTTGCCACAGATTTATGGCAGGTACCGATGTATTTCCCATAGATGTGTGTTAGATTTAGGGGAGTAAAAGTACACATGTGATTCCCTATCAAAAATATGCCCTTTCACGCAGTACTTGCACAAACTCTTGTGGAGGTACATTCAGGGGACCACCAGGGAGAGGACTGTACCTTACTAGCGACCACCAGCTGCACCAGGCCAGCGGCCGAGCGAAGGAGGGCCACGGCGTCCTGGTGGGAGAGCCCAACCAGTGACTGCCCGTTGATCATGAGGAGCTCATCGCCCGCTGTCAGCCTGCCGTCCCTGTGGAAACAGAGCGGGAACATGGAGCTGGAGGGTGGTCCTTCCCCAGTCCCGGGCTCCAGTGGCCCACAGTGGGACACAGAGGCATGGACAACACATCATCTGGCTGATGCTAAGTTTGCATCCATTGGTGCGATTTTATTTGCCAAAAAAAGTGGCTCAGAAAGGTGCCCCCAGGAGACTGTTGTTATAACCAGACCCATTTCACCCTCTTTGCAGGGCTGAGACCCCTCAAACGTTTTCTGTTCAGTGAGACTCATCTCTTCCCCGTCAGGGAGCAGAGCCAGGCCTGGCAGTGAGCACACAAGGTTGCACGACCCACGCTCACCCACTCCTAATCCCATCTTCCAAAAAGGGACTTGGGGAAAAAGCCCCGCAAGCCATCAGACTCCATGACCAAGCAAGTGTTTGATCTGTCTATAGTCTGGACTAATCAGTGACCAATCACAAAAATAAGTTTTTAAGCTAAAAATGCTGTATTCTCACCCTCACACAACAGCAGGGCAAAACCCCCACACCTGTCTCATGAGTCTGGCTACCAGTGATGGCCATGGATGCTCCATCAAGCCCGTGCAGGCATTGCCGTTGCCTCACCTGTGTGCAGAGCCGCCTTCCTCCACGTGGGTGACGATGATGCTGTGAGGGGACCGCTTCGACCCTCTGCCTCCTGTTATCTGGATTCCCAGCCCATCCGTCCCCTTCAGGATGTGCATCTTCCATATGCGGCAACCTTCTCGCTGAGAGAAAACGTGCAGAGAGTCTTTGAATTTGGACACCGAGAGGGGGCTGGGAGCGTACAGGAGGGAGCTATTTAGCATCTTGCTGCCCATCACCACATCTGTATAGCTCAAGCTATATGGGCGTTTTTGCTGAGCTTTGCTGTGTTAGCTGTGGTCCAAGCAAAGGAAGCAGAAAGGAGGAGGCAGCACAGAGCAGGGTCAGCATGAAGAGTTTCCTTGCAGGGCTGTTTGCAACTTTTCTGAGCCACGCAGAGGTGCTGCTCTCAACGCCCTGATCCTTCCCAAAGCAACCAGAGGCCTAAAAGCCCTTCGCCAAAACTCAGGGATAAGCTGTGCAGGGCTGCAGAGGAGCAAGACGTTGTTCAAGGGGGACCCTGAACACTGGGTAGCGCAGCTGCTATTGCAGCAGGAACCAAACTGGCATCACACAGCAGCATTTCCCTCTCCGGAGAGGTTTGCAGGATTTGAGACACAGGAAAGAAAATACCATCTTCAAATTGTCAGCTGCCAATCAAGTCTTTCTTACTGGACAGCTGTTGTATAGACTGTAAATAATAGATTTACTCACCGCAGAGAATAACTTTTCAGTATAAGCAAGGTAATAAGCGATGTTTAGGACTCCTTTATTATTTTTTTTAATGATTATAAGTATTTATGCAAAAAGCTCTTTACAAACTCCAGAGCAACACGAAATGCAAACCAAAACCTACTTCCCATGAGTCCTACCAGCAGGACTGGGCACAAGGAAACACAAGCGCGGCAGATATCAGCAGAGCAAAAAATGGAAAGAGAAAAACAAGCAAGCAAGCAAGCAAGACAAGTAAGGCGATTGCTTAGGACTCTCTCAGAGGAGAAGAACCAAGATAACAGAATTATGAGAAACCCTAGGAAGTTTTCAAACTCGCAAGACAGCAAAATGCACAACTTGGAGCCAATTTTTAGGCCATGTGTTGTAGTCACTGGGCACTGGGTCAGCTATTTCTGACTGGGTCTGTTCTGCACACAAGTAACGTTCCCACAGTAAGCAAATGCCCAAGTAGCAAAGATGATTAAAATTTCATGCCAAACTGTGAAAAGCATGTACAAATTGGTGCTTGTTTCTGAGAAGGGGAACTGCTAAATATATCAGCAAACCCAAGGGTTGTGGGAGCAACCTGCAGATTTTAGGCCACCGTTGTTTATTCAGTGAATAAAATGTGGGGTTTTTACCTGATCGCTGGGGCCCTATGCTGAAACTTCTAAACGCAATGCATGCAAGATGAGTTTTTCGGATACAGGAACAAAGAGGTCAGTATCTACACCAATATCTTAAGAACAAAGTGAAAGGTAATTATAATAATGTTACACAGCCCCTAGACCACAGGTAGGACAAACAGGAAAAACAAACCAGGTGTCTTAAGAGGTAACCCAAAAGTTCGAGCCTGAAAACATATACACCTGTGGGTAATTTGTTAACTTGAAAGTCATGCACAAAGGCAATATCTCAACAGGTTTAACTGGGATCCTTAACGCATC